AGAGAGAGAGAGAGAGAGAGAGGATTTAAGTCCACAGAGAGAGAGAGAGAGAGAGAGAGAGAGAGAGAGAGAGAGAGAGAGAGAGGATTTAAGTCCAAAGAACGACAAACAAGACCCAACAGCCACGTCCGTTCACAGTCACCTCCCTTAGCGTACGCATTGCTATACATCTCCGCGAGCTGTTGTGGAACCTATGCAGCCCTAAATCTATCCATTCATGTACCATTGAACGAACACGCTCTCAAGAGAGCAGACCGCCTCCGAAGGGGAGGTAATCTAAGCCCAGACGGGACAGGGCTGATGGGCGTTGCTACTCTTTGGGCGGTTCTAAGGCATGGATGGCCGTGGTAATTCCGCAGAACCCGGAATAGGGAGTAAAAGGTTAACTGACCTTGCCATCGAAGGGATTGATACTGTTCTTATCTCCTTTCCTGGGGGCACCCTTCTTTCCAAATATTTTTTCGAACATCTTGTCCGTCCACCCTTCTCTCAGATATGCCAATCAATCGAAACCGATCAGCTGTTCCTCGCACTTTACGATGCCACGCCGCGCACGACCTTTTCGGGCCACCTCAAAACAGCCGAATGGTTGAAGCTCCGCTGAATAATCGAGTGCCGCCAGAGAACGACTGAAGAACGTCCGTATGGCGTACGTACCGAGGTCTATCACCAACAATAGATTTACGGTGCACAAGCAAGTACGACTCTATGCAGACGTACGAATTTGGTGCGGGTGTATGAAGCCTGAAGGTAGGTCCAATAATCAGCATGTATACCAGTGTGTTATTACAACTCAGTCCAGCTGTATTGGGTAGTTAGTCTAGGGAGGTCGACCACCTCGCGGGCCAGATGAGAGACGTGCAAGAAGTGTGAGCGACGGCGGCGAGATGAGAGAGCGGACATTGAAGGATGAACGTCACCTGAGTGGCTATCGAATGTCAAAGTCGGCGAAGTATAATTATCAGACGCACTTCTGTCTCCGCACTGTCACCGTGCCAATCTCTCCGCAAGACGCGCCGTGGCAGACGAGACCCCTTCCTCCCCTTGTCATCCTCTCTCCACACGGTACTTGCCGATCAAACGGATAATCTAGACGTCGCTTTGATGAATGAACCGGATGGTTGGCAGCCGCCGGTTTTGGAGATCAGCTCAACGGTAGCATGCACGGAACTCCCGCACCGGCTGTTGGAGGGGCCACTTCGACTAATGGGCCCTACCGGTAGGGCTGTGCTACCCTCATTTTGGGTGGCCTTAGGGCCCTTGTTCACTTCACGGCCCGTAGGCTTAGCTACACCCCATCCGCTTTTTACTGCCTTTTTTCTGGGGGTAACTTTGGCGCAGTCACAAAAACAGTAGTCAATGGGGCGAACAGAATTTGGCACAGTCACAAAAACAGTTTGGAAATGCACTTCAGTCAATAGGGCGAACAGAACATTGACTTACCGTGAGGGCACGGGTGCGCAGCCCGTAGTTCGTTTGTTTATGTGGTTCGGGGAGGGTAAGGTAGTGATTATGCTGTATGTATGTTTTGTCATGTTCGCTATACACAACTCGAAGAGTGTGTGTGTGTGGGGTCCCGGTTGGTGCTTTATTCACAATGTTCATGGGACG